TTGAAGCGTCTCCTGATATTGACCTGCTGATGAAAATACGAAGTATTCTCCCCATACTTAACCCATTTATCTCTAGACCGCTGATACCATAGGAGTTCCTCCTGCTCAAGGACTTTATCTAACTCTCCCGCCAATTTTGAATGAAGCTTGGCCAACCCGGGAGAAAAGCTGTTTGCAAGTCTTGTTTCCACTCGCTTGAGCCGAGCTAGAAGCCTCTTTTTCCTCTGCCTAATGTCCCCAAAAATCACTTCATTCCATTCAAAAAGTTTAGCTGCGAGTGTGTGAAGGGCTTCCTGAATTGGAACATTAGAGTCCCACGACTCCGCTATCACATTCTGCAGGCTATCACTTGTGAGCCAAGCGGCTTCAAACTTAAAAGGTCGCGCCGTCTGCTGGTGAGTCGACTGCAATTGGACAGTGGTGAGAATCGGATTGTGGTCTGATTGGTGGCGAGGAAGGTGCAGCACTGTTGTATTGGGGAACGCCGTGTTCCAGTGAAGATTGCAGAGGCTCCTGTCCAGCCGGCTCACTTTGTGAGTGTGGTTTTCATCGCCTCTCCCCCAAGTGAACTTTGCACCCGAAAACCCAACGTTGACTAGTTCCGCCAAGTTCATTCTTTCATTAAAGAGTTGGCACCTTCTGAGAGTGTTTCTCGCTGGTAAACCCGACTTCTCATCCATCTTGCTAATAGCATTAAAATCCCATGTCACGAGCCAAGGAATATCAATACGTTTACTTAGATCAATAATGTTATCCCATAGTTACTTCTGCTCGCACTGCCGAGGAGAGGCATAGATCGTATTCAACATCCATGGGGGCTCATTGTTCCTGGAGACCTGCAAAGATAGATGTTGGAAGCAGGCAGAATAAGGTTGTACGGAGAAGACTCCTGCATCCCAGAACACCCACAATCCACCCTTGCGTCCCTCTGCCTCCACACGAATCGAGTTGGGGAAACCCAACTTATCGCAAACGGCATCAGCAAAAGCACCACTTATCTGAGTTTTCAGCAGAACCACAAAATCAGGTCGGTGGTTCTAAATAGCCAGTTTCAGCGCCCTTAAGAAACATCTACCTCCTGCACCTCCAACGTTCCACGAGAAGATCTTTAGCTTAGCAAACAAAGACATATCAATAAATAGAAGACGAGAGAGGCCAGGGGAGAAAAAATTTGGAATTTTGGTGAATCACGCCAAGGGGGATGAACCGTCACTCGGGCTGTTCGTTGACCGGAGATGGCCTGCCGAAGAAACTAGCTCCTTCTCTTCTTCTTCGCCTGCTGGTCGTTTTGCTACTTCAGTCCAGGCATTGATCTCTTGAAGCGTCAACGATGCTACGCGTGCCTTGGACTTGGATTTCCTTTCTTTGGTTGGAGACCAAATCTGCAGGGGTCTCATCTGATTGTCCTTGCTTGGGGATCTTTTGTTTTGGGTTTTCTTGTTCTTGCTCTGTTTAGTTCTGGCTGCAACCGATGGAATGGAGCTGGTAGCTAGGGCGCTACTATCTCTTGTCGATTGGATGTTCTCCATGATTTGTATCACTGTTCCGTTTTGCTCTGTCACCGTTCGAACGACCGGCGGCTGAGGATGGAGAGTTATGGGCTTACCATCAGCAAGAAGCCCATTGCCAATATTTGAGGTAACGAGCTCCGCCACTTCTGTTTTAGAAGTTATTTTCGGTCCATGAGCCGAGGAGGAGGAGGCCCCATCCTTTATAGCTAGTTTCGGCCCGCTTTTCCCATTCGTGACCGAAATGGGCCTTGGTCCAAGCAGCCCTTTCCCTTTACCAACAGACTCAGAACCCATCTTGTCCTTTCCTTTCCTGAGTTGTGGTCTGTTGGGGTAAGGAGCCGTTAGTAGTCGTCAAATCAGTTAGAGGGTAAATACCTTCCTTTACCGCTTGTCCGCCCTTCCCATTCTTGGAAACTATTGTCGTAGTATGATTCCCCAAATCGTTCTCCACCTTCCCTTTTCTTTGAACATCCCTTGAATTACGCCGATATTTCCTCGTGACCATCATCCACGTCCCGAAACCCGGGTTGGGATCTTCCGGTTGGGCCGGCGAGCTGATCGGCGGCGACCCACCGGCGCTTGTTTGTTGCGCCAAGGAAACCATCGTCAAAATCTGAGGGCATGTAGCCGAGAGATGTCCAATCTTCCCGCACTCGAAGGATACCTCAGGGAGATTCTCATACTCTACCTTTTGCCATTCATCATCCAGCCAAATTATGGGTACGAGGTGCTTCGAGAGGTTGACTTCCACCGCTAACCGAGCAAATTTAGCTCTTTGTTGTGTCAAGGTATGGTAGTCCAGCTTGATAGTCCTTCCTAAGAGATTCCCAACGTGTTCAACACTTCCTTGTGGTAGAAGTGAATTTTCAGAGCTGGAAGTTGCACCCAAACAATCATTGTCTTGGGAAGAGGATCGGAAACTTTAAACTTTGGAGACCATTGTTGCACCACCGAATAATGATCGAAAATTACCCAAGTCCGTCGGTCAGAGTTCGGATGTAGTCCTGCTCGTTGTGTAGTTTTACTAGAAAACAGTCATGGTCCAGGTCCTTGACCTCCATAGAGCCCGTCGGCCGCCATAGACTTTTCAGGCGATTGCAAAGGGTGACGAAACCGATCCTCAGGCCAAGTAGCCGAACCACCAAAGTATTCTGCCATGGTGCACATATCTTAGCTTTGAACTCAACCGACATATGTAGAGCCGGTTCCCCATTGCGGTCCCCCGCCACCAGGTCGTGTTCCCCCCACCGGAGTCCATTGGCTCACTTGGCTCGGAGTTGATGCCATCGTCCTCTGAACTGTAACCGCCTTAGCATAAGTAAAGGGTTGCTGATCGGTTGCCATCCCCACCGTAAGTCCCGGTTGTGTTTCCGTCGCGAGTCCCAACTCCCCCTATTGCTGCAAAGACACCAAAGAAGAATCAATAGCCATATCCGAAGGGGGGTGGCCGTAACCAATGTAGTCAAAAGCGAGTTTCTACGTAGAAACGTTTGGGTGATGTAGAAGCGTAAAATCGTAAGTTTTTAAGTTTTAATGCGGAGTTTTTAACTATATAAGCTATAAAAACTAAGATTTTGTGTAGAAGCGTTTTAGTGACCTAAAAACGTAAAATCGTAAGTTTTTAAGTTTTAAAGCGCGATTTTGACTACATTGGCCGTAACCACTTTTGACTATAATAAAACTGAATCAACTATCGCTAGAGGAAGAGGAGAATCCGGTGGTCGGTCAGAGGGAAAAAGGGTCGGCGTCGGAGCCGGAAATCCTCCGCTAGAAGTAGAGAGCATCGTTTCTATGAAATTAATCAGCGAAGAAGTCCGCAGTCGCCTTACTAAATTATAAAACATATGATAATAATAATGAGACATGGTAGTTTGTTAATAAATTTTACATGATCCATAATTGAACCACTCTCAACTCGAATTATTTGGATCGGTTGGTTCTTGACAAGATATCAAAGCCTTTTGTGATCGATAGGTCTTTTGTTGGACTCCCGGTAACCCCCATATGTTCTGTTAACACATGGTGTCCAGACCTGTGCAAACTTCAATCCTATATGAGTGACTTTCGTTTGAGAGGTGTATTAATAAATAATGTATGATCCATAATTAAATCTCTCTCAACTACTCGAATTATTGGTATCAACTAGTTTTTGACATATTTCGCATTCAACCTAACTATTGATGAAAAAGTTTGTCTTGCCACTGCATAGACATCTCTATGGAAGCTCTAAAAATAAAAAAGGACACAAAGTGACACAAAGTGACAAAACAGACAAAAAAGGCATGGATTGTAGATGAACTTGCTTTAGAAATTTGGCTTCATTGCACCATCAGATCGGACCAGCTTGCCACCTCTAGGGCAGAGCTTCCATCTTGTCGTCCGCCTCTCTTAGCACCCAGGGCTCGAGATGTGCATCTATAGGTGGCGTTGTTTGTGGGTAGGTAGTGTGTCTTCTTCATAATCCCCCAACATCCATGTGTTTGATCCCGCAAAGGATAAAGTATAGGTGCAGTAGGTTTGTACCAATTTCAAGCATTCAGTAGGGCAACCTCTCATTTGTGAGGACATATATATGAGGAATAGCATGATTCTATATAGCTCTCTTGACAACTTGAATGATTGGAATGAAATAATTCTCAATCATATCTACCATTTTATAGTATTAATTCAAATTAGATAGTAAACGATAGTTACTGTTATAGAATGAAACAACATATGTGACGTGCATTGGCAGAGCTAAGTCAGCGGTTGTGAGGTCCATGAACCCCACTTTGAAATTGAAGATACATTGAAAAGTACGAGTTTTTAAAGTGCAGATTACATCATGGACCACTTTACCGAGCATAATAGTTTTGTCATTGAAACTCACACCACATTTTCATCATTTTTGGAACTCACTAAATTATATTACTAGCTATGCCAATGGTGATGTGATCATTACATGTTTTGAGGAAAATAAGAGTAACTAGGAACAAAGAGTGCTCAATGTAGCAGCCTTGACAAAAATCCACCGTGAAATAACACACACTTGAAAGTCACTTGAACCATGTTACTAAATTCGTATGAAAGTCTGTTGAGATCGACTTATATGTCCAATCCCGTAAAAACCAACGAACTCTCATGTCCCGCCACAACTTTAGTCTCTTGAATCTTGATATTGACATTTAATCATATTACGAAATGAATATGATTAGGTTGCAATAATTGGGTTGGGCTTAGCCCTCAAGCTCAAGATGTTGTGCTGGGCTTGGGTTCTAAGAAATGACCTCGCCCTCTAGCTAGGGTTTCTCCTTCACATTCTACAAGTGAAAGAAACCCCACCACCACGAAGCCCCAGTTCTAGAGATAGAGCGAGAGAGGTTTTTTCTATTCAACACCAAGCAGTCATTTGTTTGCTGTCACCCAAAATCTCAAGCACGATGGATTTTGTACAAATCCCTTGAGAAAAATAGAAGAACCAAATTTGTAGGATTCATGGATTTGGATTCAAAGTTTAGTTTCAAATCCGTGGCCCAAGGATATGTAAATCTCAAATGAATTGTGGGAGTTTAGATATGATACAAATATCCATGATGGTTTTTTTTTTTTTTTGATGGTTAATCAAAATTTCATTAAGCTCTAGGATCCTTGTAACTAAGGATCCCTCTCCAAAATACAAAGTGTACTGATTACAAAAACCATCAAACTAAGAGAACCGAAAACAAAACAAAGAACTATACTAAAGAAAACTGGGAAGAGCAATCTGTGTATCAATTCTGCTACTAATAAAAAAACCAGCTTCAGATCGAATCCGAGTTACCATCTGGGGGGGATGCTGCAAACCTGTGCCATAACACCTTTTACATCTCTCCCTCCATACATAGCCCATCACCATACTCCATAGCAGCTTACCAAGCTTACTCTTTATAGAAACATCATCCCAGAACCTTATCGCCCATAACACAGTATCATGCCAAGAAGTGTGGACAGGGAGAGGAAGGAAGTCAACTAAAGTATGCTGCAGCACATAAGATGTATATGAACAAGAAGCAAATAGGTGATCCCGAGACTCCACCCCTCCTGGACAAAGCACACAAGCTGTGTCCTCTACCTTTCCCCACATAGCAAGTTTATCACGTGTGTAGAGTCTATCCAACATGATGAGCCATAAGATCAAAGCATGTTTAGGGATGAAAAACTTACCCCAAATCAGCTTAGCCCATGGAACTTCCTGCTTAGTGGAACGGATAGAGAGCCAAACCTTCTTCACAGAGAATCTCGGCATAGGCTGCCCTGACCAGCGCAAAGACATATCAGCACCTGTGATATATTGATGAGCCTCCTCCCTCGCCTTCAGAATCCTTTTCCAGACCCACGAGCCCACCGAGTTTGGAGAAACCTCCCAAATAGACTTCTTCCTGAGCCTGTACTTCCTGATCCAAGCCACCCAAAGAGAGCCACTTCCGGCCAGAATATCCCAAATGTGCCTTATAACACAGGCGCGGTTCCAGACTCTAAAATCTTTCACACCCAACCCACCCTCTGCTTTCAAAGTAACAACATATTCCCAAGCCACCAAAGCTTTCACTCGTGAACCATTCTCCCCCACCCCCCATAGGAATCTGTTACATATAATCTCAATGTCTTTCAACACACCCTGAGGAAGGAGGAATAAACTCATCCAATACTGAAGCACACTAGAAATCACCGAGGAGACAAGTTGGATACGACCAGCATAGCTTAGGGTTTTGGAGTTCCAACCACGGATTCGTGCAGTAATCTTATCCACTAATATCTGGCAATCAACTGTAGACAACTTCCCAGACAAAAGTGGCATCCCCAAGTACTTAACTGGGAATGTGCCCAATGGGAAACCTGCCGAACCAGCAATAATAACCTGATCCTCAGCTGGAACCCCTCCAAAGAAAACCTGACTCTTATCTGGATTGCATTTCAGACCAGACAGAGAATAAAAATCCCCCAACACACCCTTAATCCCCTCGACTGCCTCAAAAGAGCCATCAGAAAACACAAGAAGGTCATCTGCAAATATTAAATGGGAAATGGCCAGACTCTTACAGCGTGGATGGTATGGTATCTGACCCTCTGCAGTTGCCTTAGCCAACAAACATGAGAAAACCTCCATAGATATAACAAATAAGTATGGCGAAATCGGATCTCCCTGCCTAAGGCCTTTCTCCCCTGGGAAATAACCACACAACCCCCCATTCAAACAGACACTGAACATCGGGGAAGACACACACACCCTAACTCTGTGAACAAACCACTCTGGAATACCCATAGCAGCCATAACCGTGAAAAGGAAAGACCAATTAACCGAATCAAACGCCTTCATTAAATCGACTTTAACTACACATCTGGGAGCAATAGATGTTTTATTATAGTCTTTAACTAACTCAGACGCCATGAGAATATTATCACAGATTAGTCTTCCTTTTATAAAAGCAGATTGTGAATGACTAATGAGGAGGGGAAGGACCTTTGACAAACTATTAGCTAGAATTTTTGTAATGCCCTTATAGAGAACATTACAACAAGATATGGGTCGGAAGTCTTTCATTCTCTCAACATTTGCTAGCTTAGGAATCAAAGCAAGAATAGTGGAATTAAGCTTCCTAGGTAAAATACCTGTCTCAAAAAATTGAAGGAGAGCATCCTCCACATCCTTTCCCACAACTGACCAGTCTTCCTTATAGAAATCAGCAGGATAACCATCCGGGCCAGGGGCCTTGTCAGACGCCATAGCCATAAAAACAGCCTTAATCTCCTCCCGAGTGACCTCCCCCTGTAATTCCCTTGCAGCTTCTGGAGGTAACTTGTGCCTGAGTAGAGCCTCATAATATTCCACCGGCTGCTCCTTGACTTCCCTATTAACCCTGCCAAGCAAAGCTTTATAGAAATCCACAGCAACATCCCCCATCTGCTCTACATCAGTGACTACAGAACCATCCTCTGCCACTAGATGATCAATGGTCTGCCTTTTGTTACGGATTCTGACATAGTTGTGAAAGAACCCTGTATTAGAGTCACCTCCCAACACCCAAGACATCCGGGACTTCTGTCTGAAGAAGCTTTCCTCAGCAGCTTGTGCTTCAAAACATGACTGAGCCAAGTTTGATTCCCTAGCCACCTTCATATCCATGATGGTTAAGACTCTTTTATTCCAAAAAATTCTTTTTAATACCATTTTTCTCCTTTGTTGTCTTTTCTTTGCGAGAGGAATTTGACCGAT